CAAAAGTCTACTTATTAAAAATTTTATTGATAAAATCAGTTATTACAATAAAAATTTATATTTAAATAATTTTTTTTAAAATTTAGTTTGAAAAATTACAATTTTTTTAAATTATATATAATGAAATAGTTTTTTAAATATACAATTACTAAGAAGGGCATTAATTTATGATATTTTTAATTTTTTGGTATACAAATAAAATATATTAACAATGTTTAAAAAATCTGACAAAATTTTTAAATAACATAAAATTTAATATGCAAGAATAAAAAATGTAAAGTTTGATTTGTTGAAAAAAAAATCTATAATATATATTTCAACATAATATTAATATTAAAAATTACCAATGTATTTTTTTTACCTATATAAAAAAACCAAAATATTATATTACCAAAACACTTTCCATATATATTAACATTGAAAATTACCAATGTATTTTTTTACCTATATAAAAAACCAAAATATCATATTAACCAAACACTTTCAATATATATTAACATTGAAAAATTACCAATGTATTTTTTTTACCTATATTAAAAAAAACCAAAATCATATTAACCAAACACTTTGACTTACTAGTTCTACCAAGTAAGGATTATTTTATAATCAATCTTGATTTTTAATTCTTCTTTTGTACAAAACCAAAGCATTTGAATGTAGAGATCATCAAATATCAATGAAAAAGGTTGAATGCTTTTCAAAAGTTCAAATCCATCACCTTTTGAAAATTTACTTCATAACTATTTGAATGTACTTTTTCAAAAATTAATGTGGGTGAAATTTATTAACCAAACAATATTAGACTTTTCAAAAGTGTAAATTTATATTTCAAATGGAAAAGTAAAGTACCCAAATGAAACTCATAGTATGGACAACCTCCTTTTAAAACACAAAAATCAGATAGAAACAAGGGTTTATGATTTGAGAACTGAAGAGCAGCATATGGGTGAGGTCATGAGGGCTTTTGGCCAAAAATCCAAGGTTTATGAGCCTCCAAATATTGATGTGAGGTATGTTAGTTGGCTTGATTTCTCTTCCTCCTCCCCAATTTAATCTTTGGAAATTGAGAATTATTGGGGTTATTTTTATTGATAACTTTGGGCTGAATTTTGGTTTGATTGTAGAAGTTTTATAGCCAAGAAGTGAGTTTGAGCTTTCTCAAACCTCATTTGAAATTTTAATTGGTAGTTTGAGACATATTGGTTGTGGACAAACCTTAGGTTATTAAAAGAGGAATTTTGAAGTTACCTGGATTAGATGGTTAAGAAAATGATTATCAGCTTTAGGCAACAAGTTCTACTTGCTGGAATGTGGATTTTACTGTTGACTTGAAGATTATGATGAATTTTGAATTTTTGGGATGTTTACTGTGGATTTCTATGGATTTTTGATTTGGTTGATTGAATAGTTGTTTGGCTAAGAAAACTTATTGGTTAAAAACTTTGATTGACAAACGGGTTATATATAAAATTTTAGGTTTGGAATTGATTTGATTTATTATTTGAACTTGATATTTTATTATTAAAAGTGTTTATTGGGGGTAAATGGGAAAATTAATTGGAATAGTCGAGGTTGATGTAAGTGTTGGTCATTTGATCCTAAATTGGATAATCTTTGTATCTATGAGACTATGACATTTGGGAAAGATAAAATTTGACTAGCTGTGAAGGTTGCATTTAGATGTTATATGATCCTTCTTTGGGTTGAACTTTGATTGTGGTTTTGGGTTGTTGATATGGGCTTCGTAGACTTCAAATTTGACTTTTGAATAACCAAACATTGCTTTTGGATCATGGTGTGGTGATGGCTAGAGTTGTCATAGTGGTACTGGTTTGCCCTATTGCCTTTTAACATGAAGGGTTGATGTAATTGGGATTTAATTTTTTTTGCAGTTTATGCATGCATACGTGGTTTTTGAGTGCTTGAGAATTTAAAAATGATGATAATTATACCATATGATTGTGTTTTGAGAAACAACATATAAAATATATTGGTATTGGCAATTTAGATAGAAATCAGGCCTATATTGTTTCTCTTAAATGTGATTCAATATTTGGAAAGAATTGTGAATTATTGTATTGAAGTGGCTTGGATATAAAAATGGTTTAAAAATTGTTTTACACACATCAATTATAATATCTAAGTATTTATCAATTATAATGTCTAAATATTTATTTTCAAACTAGTTTCACTATATGGTTATTTGTGTTTGCACTTTTAGAATATATATATATATATATATATATTATATTATATGTTTAAATTAGAATTTCTCTTCAATTACTGAGATATCGCATCTCACCCTTCATGTTTAAATTAGAATTTCTCTTTAATTACTGAGATATCGCATCTCACCCTTCATTTTAATATATATATATATATATATATTTTTTTTTTTTTTTGTGAAAGCTTTAGCTTGATTTATGTGTACGAAGATAAGAATGATTTGGCCTAGGCATATGACCACCTTTTATGGGTATTTGGATTTACTGTATTTGATCAAATGTTTTAGTTTATGTGTTGAGATGCTAAAAGTTGTACTACTTATTTGTTTATTTATGTATTAGGTGGTTGTGTTCTGCCCCGTGTCTAGAAAATGTTTTTATTATGGGCTTTTCGTCATAGTGGAAGCCCTCTCTTTCGCAGTGGTCTGTTTTATTATTTGGTATTTTGAAGGGCTCCTCGAGACAGGATGCTAACGTTTGGAACCAAATGATTAGGTACTGCTTACCAAGTGCTTGAACCTTTATCTTTTGGATTAATTTTTTTTATTATCTTTGTCTTTATTTTTGAGGGGTATTACAAAAGTCATTTGGAACAAATTTGTATCTAAACATGAGGCTGCATTATCAAACAAGCTTTCCCATCACAATTTAGGTTCAGGCCAGGATAACTTACTAGGGTGGCGGTAAACCAAACACACCCTTCACCTCCCACCTCTCCCAGATTTGTGCCTCATTCATAATATATGTAAATTGGTTTGTGCTGGTGTTTCAGAGTTCTGAATGTGTAGTTCTTTGCGTAAGAATAAATCTGTCCACGTTGTTTTTTACCATGATGAGAAATTGACGAGATCCAATACCTCCACAAACAAAGGAAATATAGAGTATGAGCTTTCAATGAGAACTTGTGTTGCATGAGCACATGCATTGATAAATAATAATTTTATATATTTTATCTTTTTAATTTAAATTTTTAAATATTTATTTGAGGCTAATTAAGTTTAATTAAATGTTATTTAATTTTATTAGCCAATATTCAGTTTTAAAATTTTAACTATCTAAATTCATGATTTTAAAATATAAATGATATCGTTAATATTTGTGCATAGGTGCTATTTAATTTAATTTTATTTATACAAATTTTCTAGATTCAATTTAAAAGATATAAATATAGATTATTTTGGATAAGAAGAATATAGACATGCTTGAAGATCAAATCAAAAATAAAATCTTTAAAATTTTGTTTAAATTTATTTTAGGTTATTTAGTGTAGTTTTTAATTAAGGTTATTTAGAGTAGTTTTATCATTTTATCATTAGCTTTTCTTTAGCCGTACGGAATTGCATCACTTTTGCATATATAAAGAAAGCAATGCACAGAACGAAAAAAAAAAAAGAAGAACGGAGTTAGCGTAGAACAGAGCCTACGGACGCAATAGCTCTTCAAGCGATGGCTTCTCTTTTTCTTGCAGTATATTGTTTGATTTTTGGTTCTACGGAGGGTTAAATTTTTAGTCTGATCAATCACAAATTATAATCCTAAATTTTGATCAGAGTCTTTAATATTTAAGGAAGATTTTATTTTAGCTTTATTTCAATTTTTTCTTTTTCTCTCTACCTCTAAATTTTATGTTTTAACTGCTATTACTGATTAGAGTAGCTTTATTACATAATTTTTGGGTTATAAATTTATCTGAGGTTTTACTTGCTATAATCGATTGATATAATAACTTAAGAGTAATTTGGCTTGGCTTGAGTAATTACTCATGCTTTGTTTTTGGTGTGGCTAACATAAAATAGTTGTTAGGTTGTGAGTTAAGGAAGATTTCAATTAATCTATAACTTAATTTCTTGTTTAATTCTTGAATGATAGTTTGAGAAATATATAATAAACTAAAATAATAAAGTTAAATAAAATTAATGTAACTTGTGGATGAGTAAGATTAAATTTAGGTGATTAGATTGTGATTGACTGTGCTGTTTGTTCTTGATAATTTTCTTAATTAAATTACCTCTATTTATTATTTCTAATTTAGTTTTTTAATTTCATCATAAAAAAACCCAACTTTTTAGCTTTTCATAATCATAATTTAAATAATTTTTCTATTGACTCTTAGAGAGATAACTTAGATTATATTTTACTGTAAAATTTAATTTTTATTAATTTTAATACTATTCGACAGTAGTGTGATGAGTGTCATGCATCTTGTATTTGATCCATTCAAAATTATTGCTTCGGTGACACATAAGCCAAGGTGAGCAACACGGAGCCTTATACCATTATATGATCCTAATGTTTGGTCAATATTTCTCATCAACATTATTGATATGCAAACCTTCAAGGTGTTCTTATAGATGTCATCAAATAAATCACTGTCGAAACGGAGTCATAACCGTAACAATCAATAGGGTTTGCAAGAACCCATCAACACTTAAAAGTCATTAACTAAGTTGACGCATTCAATAGTATAAAACCTTGTATTAAAAAAAAAAAACTAAATGTACATTTTAACTTTAATAAAAATCATTATGAGACTAAAAAATCAATTATAAAAATCCAAAATATGATTCATTTATTTTTTCCATAGCTCTCATGAACTCCTGCATTTTGATTAAATCAATTATACCTAAAAGTACACTTAGAAATAGATTTTATTCAAATTCTATTCAATCTAATGCTAATTTAAACAGGACTTAACCCTTAATCCAACCTCCGTCACCAAATGAAGGGGGTGTGTGTGTGTGCGTGTGTGTGTTCCATTAGAGTCATCACAAAGAAGAAAGATGAACAGGAAAAATTCTAAATAAAATGATCCTATCATCAGTGCTCCTTCAGAACTAAACACTACTACCGTATTTAATCATAAAATCGAGGCAAAAGATGAAACCCATCTCGCTTGGCTCATTGAAGAATACTGGTTTAGAAGTACACACACATATGTTCATATTCTCTTAGAGTCGACAATACTCACAATGAGAATAAGAACAACCAAAAAAAGAAAAGATAAGAGAGAAAATGAACAGGAAAAAAATTCTAAACAAATGATATCATCATCACTGCTGCTTCAAAAGTTCAAATCCAAATAATTTAGACATCAGAGTACTTCTCTTCTTCCACAGGCTTAAGCAATGGACCCAAAACAGTTGTCAAGGCTGACGACGAGTAAATAGCAGCTTTCAGAATTTCAAACACCTACATTAATACCATAAAGTAAAGTTAATCACCCAAATAAGGGAACTCGAAATACAATACTTTCTCTGTTCTTCTTTGAAATCTCACCTCTCAACTCATTTTGTTGTTCAGCCTTTGAACTATATATTTGGGATTTTTGTACTGTTCTGACATTTTTTTTTTAAATCATTATGTAAATATTAAATATAGATCATTGAAATTCTATCTTGAAGGACTAAAAGCCCAACAGTAAAGAGAAACAGAGCAATGATGCACAGCGGAGCAGCAGCATTGAGAGAGCACATTTCTTTTTTCTCCAACAAAACACAAATTTCTCACAAAATCAGCATAGAGAACTTCTCGACTTTTCATTCTGGTAAAAGATTCATTCAGAGTCTCGCAACAACCAACATCCATAAAAAACTAGCACGTTATGAAATTCTATAAGGGTTATTAAATAAAGGACTGAGAAAGGAAGAAAAAATTAAAAGAAACAATATTTGTTAGCTAAATTCGCACGGAAAAAAATTCAAAGAATGAAAGTTTAAACATAGATTATCCAAATTTGATAAAGAAAATCTAAATTCTGAAGAGCAAACCAAAGAATAGAGGAATGACAAAGAAGAAAGTACCTCATTCACCCCAATGCAAATGTCCTTCACTTCCAAATCTTGCTCAACAATTTTGGAATCACGCAAAAATGACAAAGCAGCAGGAAGAGAGAATGGTGTTACGGACAAATCATCTGCCACCATGAACAACGTTCTCCAGCTAACATAACCACAATCCCCATCGGATGAAGACCTACCAGAATGGATTGGTAATAGCTGGTTTCGGACATTACTTGGGGGAATAAGAGGATTGCGAAGCCTGCTCTGCAGATACCAACGAATGAAAATATTTGAATCCAAATCACCCAAGCTCTTATGCAAGTTATCGATACAGCCCAAACCAGATTTGCCTCTTAGCAGACTTTCAACTACACCTAATTGTATGGTCAGGAAACTTAAAAGTTGATCTGTGAAGTCCTCTGATGCTTCACATACACTATTTTGCTTTTTGATTTTGATATCATTATCGTCAACTTCATCGTCTCCAAAAACCCCTTGGGTAAATCATATTGCCTTAAATCAGACTTCGGTGGTATTTGAGAGTTCTGAATGTGCAGCTCCTTGCGTAAGAACAAATCTGTCAACGGTCTCTTTGACCATAGTGATAACTTGAGAAGATCCAATACCTTCAAAAAGAAAGCATATATATATATATATATAGAGAGAGAGAGAGAGAGAGAGGCTGAGACTTGAAATGATGAGGAAGAGTTCAAATTAAACAATATCGTTGAAACTGCACATAAATCCTATTTCTAAAATTCCTGAGACTTTGATTAAAAGGAAAAGACGTAGACTACATAGCTTCCGTGGAGTTTGCTAAGTTTGCAGACACAGAAGAATAGAATCTGGTTAATGTCAACAAAAATTTAAGTTCAGACGAGGTGTGTAAGGTTTAAAAAATAAAGACTTCGAAACTAAAAGTGTTGAAATTCGAGGAAAGGATCTAAAAACCAAAGAAATATGTACATAATATCAACCGAATTGAAAGGATCATCAACATAATTTACTCAATAATATCATCACCTCTTTCTGAGTGACATTCACATCAAATCTCTTAGGAACAAATTCAGTTCCGAAATTTTGCAGTATCCACAAGACTGCTTTCGTATCACTAGGCATGACTCTTAAATCATCAGAAACAATAAAACGTGCCGGTTTGTCAAGATAGCCCCAAAAACCCTCCGACATCTGAACGTCATCAAAGTTATATACCAGATTTACAGAATCAGCTTCCAATGGGTTGACTGGATTCAACAACCTCCCTTTATACTCGTCAGATTGAAAATACTTTGGGTCCAGATCTTCTACACTTTGACGCAGTGAGCTTATGCAGTTGAATGTGCAAGGCTCTACAGTAAAGTACTTACCAATAACTGCAGAAATAGTTCCCAAGGGCAATGTTAAGAAACTCAATAAAATACTGACGAACCCACTCCCTGCTTCAGCATAGAGAACCTTATTCTTCTCTTCGTCTACGTTCAGAATCAATGAAATCTTCTTCACTTGTTCTGGTGAAGCCATGATAAGAAGTGCAAAACGAAGATGATAGATCGTTCTTCAAAAGACTAATTTAACGGCTACAATACTAGATTAGTTTATTTGTAGAGAGAAAAAGCTGTAAGGATAATGCAGCTCTATCAATGACGACCTTTAGACACAATGCAAGTAGTACACACTAATCCAAACTTTTAATTACATAGATTTATTCTTTATGCAAAAGAGGCGAACTGCTTAGTATGCACTGACAACTTCGCAGGAGGATGCTTGAAAAGATTCTGCACGCAGATATGCAGATATCAGCCACAGAGAAGTTGATCCATAATCATTGACTGAATTGCAATCATAGAAATGGCTGATTTGGACAAACTCAGAAGCATAAGATGTCCTCTTATGAATTCCATTCACTCCATTCACTATCAAGGTTAGAAGATAAAAAATCATTAGTTTATACCTAAGTCTCAGAATTCATTAGAAGAGAATCGAGATACTAGATGTGCATCAGGACTATTAAATTCAATATATTTCATAAAACTAGTAAATAATCCATAATAAGTTCATCAATAGAGAATCACAGATGCACGAATATGTCAAATAACGTACATTGAATCGAAGTTGTTTGCAATTCCAGTTATACCAAAAAAATCATGCTATCTAATGTGCCTGAGGCTTCAACACTGTTACTGGAGAAGCTTGCTGCAGCAGCATTAGGATTCTACAGGCTCAAAATTTGCCCTCTCTTTGCCGCTCCTTCCGATTTGCAAATTCACACTCCACAGCATCCAGATTCCATGGCCCTCAAAGTGTTGGGACAGCTATGGTGAAGAGGCGATGGTGACTCAACCGGACGGCACGATGATGGCGCAAATACGGCCAAGGGGAGCGTCGACTTCAGCGACGACAACACCTCCGTTTTGATGCTCTTGTCCTCAAGCGCGGGTCCCTAAAGCGTGCGCAGTACTTGAACAGTGTTTTTAGGTTTTTCTGGCTCCATCTGAGCCGTTCCGAAACAAACGTTCCAAATAAAGCCACGTCATTTTATAAATTTACAATTGCATGGTATTTACACCCGTATATCTAATTTATCTTCTAAATTAGTTAATATTCAATGGCTACATCAAGGGCGGTTTATTTCTTTTTTTAAAATGAAAAATCATTTTTTTAAATCTATTTTGTGAAATTTTATAATATTTATTTAAACTTTTAAAAATAATTAAAAAACTTTTAATTATTTTAACAAGTTACTTTGAATTAGAGTTAAAAAAAAACCAACGAATTTAGCTAATATAGGCTCGTTGACTTAGATTTATAAGCTCAATTTTCTTAATTTTGACTATTTTAAAATTTTGGCTTTTATTTAAAGGATTTATGACTAGGTTTGTTAGTCTTTTTCTTTAAAAAATTACTTTTTAAAAATAAAGTTTGATATTATAACATTATAAATTAATTAAAAAATTTTAAAATAAAAATAAATAAAACGAATCAAGATCTTACTTTATATCACAATCATAAGTCAAGCTTTTACATGCTAATCATTCAAGATAAATATAAATAATTATATAAAGATAGGATGAAAGAAAATAACTAATTTTAAATCATCAAAACAGTCATATATATATATATATATATATATATATAAAATAATAGTGCTCCATTACAAAATCATCAACATGGCCAATACACACAACAATTTAAACTTAAATTGGACATTAGAGGAGTCAAATATTCAACGCCAAAACTTGTTTAACAAATCAAGGAATCAAACCAATAATTGTTTCGTAGTATCACACTATCACAAAAATATTTCAAATAACAAATTCATTTAGGAAACAAAAGGGAGATGGAGTTTATGACCACAAACCTTATTTTAATTCATAAACTAAACTGAAAAATGAATTACAGAACATTTATGTTTTTTTTTTATTTTAAATTAATAAGGCTTGTAATGGTGCCTATTTTTACCAAACCTAACAAGGTCAGGGTGAAGCCTAATTATATTAAAAAAATTATTTTTCAAGTTCGTACTTTAATAAAAATAAACTTAAATGGGTGGCCTGTCAAACTTTGCTTATATTATTAGCTCTACTTTGAATAACTTTTGTAAATAATATAATGTAGTAGATAATGGAGAATATCATAATGTGAATATACATGAAGATACTATAAAATTTTAAAGGATTAAAGTGTATTTTTCTTTCAAGGAGCATTGAGCATCTTATACTAATAAGTGAGACATTTTCTCCCCAAGCTATTTTTTAGAAGAGCAAAAATCTCCCTCCATCCTTTGAAAAATAATTAACGACAAAAATACTTCACTTATTAATATAGGATGTCTAGCAATTCTTAAAGAAAAGAATTTTTAATGTATCTAGTGTTCCTAAAAAAAATTTATAGATAAATTAACATTAATAGACATGCCACGTTAAAATGACAAAATTAACATATCACTAACAAAGGAAGATGTTTGCCCCTATGGAAAATGGTTTAAATAAAAATACTCCACTTATGAGTACATGATATCTAGTGCTCATCAAATAAAAGTATAAGAAAAAATACACCTTAACCCAATTTTAAAATAACTTAATAACAAATTATTGTTAATCATAAAATCTAAAAATAACTAAATAATAATTACTTTTGATTAAAATAAAATATTCTTTTAGTTCTCTAACTTTACATAAAATTTTAATTTAATTCATTAATTTCAAAAATTATATTTTTACTTCTCTAAACCTAAAATTGTTAGTTTCAAAGGACTAAACTATTTATTGTAATAGTAATTATTATTTTAGAAGAATTCAACTTAACATGTTAATATTTAAAAATAATTTATCAATATTTAAAAATTTAATGTATAATTATTTTATGATGAAATTAACGGTGTTGGGGTTAAAGAATTGAAAAAATATTTTATAAAATTAGGAAACTAAATAAAACTTTGTGTAAAATTAAAAGACCAAATGCATATTTTAATCTTTTAATTATGGTAACCAAACATAAAATAATATCTATTTTTTTTACAAATTCTTTACAAAATAAGTCATTTAATATAATCTATAAATTATAAAAAAATACTTATTTTTTAATATTAAATAAATGAGCCCCAAATCAATAATTTTAAGCCTCAATAGTACTAGGTAATTTCTTTAAAAAAAAAACTAGAAAGGGAAACTCTGAAAAATGATAAATTTATTATTATTATTTTTTAAATTTTCCTCCCTGATTATCTCTCCCCTTTATTTTTCTCACTGTTCCATGTGTGTCCAAACCAAATCTAAGGATATAATAAACGCGAGGTTTTGGACTTAATTCTCCGTAACTGTAAGTGCAATACTTGTGTGCAAAAATTAAACTTCCTTGACAAATTTCGCACATCCCAATAAATAATGGAATAGCCCCTTTTGTTTTTTTTTCTCCTTCACATTATTAAGAATTCAAAAAAATTATTGCATATTCAAATAGCTCATGGCATGCATCTCCCTTTACCTGATATCGCAACTTCAAGAACAGAAAAAGCGAAAATTCCTTGTATTGGTAGTGTATCCTTTCTGTTTGGACATTTTCTATTGAATGATGATTCAGTACTTACTCAAAAAGGAAAAAAAAAAAAAAAGTACGACAAAACATAGTTCATATCCAAATAACATTCCTACATTCACTTCACTTCGCTTCTCTTCCTACATTACAATACAATCACTTCTATGAACCAAATCGGCACTAAGAAATGGCCTCAAACCAGTGGTCAAGGCTGATGATGATGACATGGCAGCTTTCAGAATTTCTAACACCTGCATTGAACAAACACAAGTTTAATCACCCCAACAAAGTAAATTCAATGAGAAAGGTAAAAAGTATAATTACATAGATAATGTCTAAAGGCCGCACATAGGGAAGAGGAATGAGGAAGGGCAAAGAAGCAGAGAGAAAAGTACCTCATTCACCCCAACACTTACATCTCTTACTCCCAAGTCCTGCCCACCATCTTTAGAATATTCATGCAGAAATGTTAAAGCAGCATGAAGAGAATAAGGTTTTATGGACAAATCATCTGCCACTATAAACATTGTTTTCGACGTAACATAACCAGTACAACACGTGTGTGAAGGAGCACCTAAGATATAAAATGGTAACAACTGGTTTATGATTTTATTTGAAGAATTAAGGGGATTAAGCAGCTTGTCCTTTAGATCACGAACTTTTGAACTAAAAAAACTAGTTTCATCCAAATTAGCCAAGCTCTTGTACAAGTTATCAATGCAACCCAAACCAGAGTTGCATTGGACAAGACGTTCAGCAGCTGCTAATGGTATAGTCAGAAAACTCAAAATCTGATCAATGAAATCCCGTTCTGCTTGAGCAAACAGTATTCTGCTCTTTGATTCTGATATCATTACTTTCAACTTCATCCTCCGAACCTTCTGCTGTAGCTCACTTATCTTTAAGTTGGGCTGTGGTCGTGTTTGAAAGTTCTGAATGTTCAATTTTTTGCGTAAGAATACATCAGTCAATGTTGTCTTTGACCGTAATGAGAACTTGACGAGATCCAATACCTTCACAAATAAAGCAAATACATATATAAAGGTTGGGCCAGAACAGTGATGAAAAGTTCAGATTAATAAGGGAAAAAGAGAAAAATCAGTCGGGAATATAGTTTTGCTTAAAGCATGCAAATTTTCAAACAATCTAGGAGCAGGAATTATAATACGAAATTCTCCAAATTTTGCCAAGATTACACATGCAGAAAAGTCTATAATTGCAACAAAAATGAGTGCACTTTGAAAATAGAAACTCTGAAGTTTAAGGTTGTGAGATTCAAGGGAAGTTTTTAAACACCAAAGGAATGTCTATATAATATTAACAAAATTGGAAGAATTCAATGCCATTAACTTATTATTTTACTCAAAAATATGCTCACCACTTCCGGGGTGACATTCACAGTTAATCTTTCATGATCATATTCAACTCCAAAATTCTGTACTATCCACAAGGCTGCCTTCAGATCACTAGGCATCACTGTTAGATTATCAGAAATGATAAAGCATGCCGATTTTCGAAGGTAGCCAACAAACCCTGTGAGTTCTGTGGATCATTGAAGTTATATACCAGCTTTTTGGAATCAGCTTCCATTGGGTTGATTGGATTCAGCAACTTTCCTCTATTATCATCTGAAGTGAGAAACTTTGGATCCAGATTTTCTGTACTATGATGCAGTGAGCTTGTGCAGTTAAATCTGCAAGGCTGTACAGTGGTCTCCATGCTAACAAGTCTAGAAATAGTCCCCAAGGGCAATGTGAAAACACTTAATAAAACATCTACGAAGTCATTATCTGCTTCAGCATAAAGAACCTCATTTTTCTCGTTTATGACAAGAGTCAACGAAATCTTCTTCTGCTGTGATGAAGCCATTATCAGGAAGAGGCGATACCCAGAAGCTAGATTCTGCAAAAGACTAAGTTCGATGGCTACAATGCTAGATTAATGTGTGTGTATATAAAGACAAGACTGCCCTCAGTTATGAAATTCATCCCGTTCTTCCACCATTACGGCAGTACCATCTTCAACTCCTCCACCCATCTTTGGTCTTCACCGTGATTTCATACGCATGCCAACCACACAAAAAAAGATGCCCTATAAAAAATAAAAACAGATTGAAGCATTTCAAATTGACGGCTACTCACAGTTTCATATCTTCAACTGGCTAAAAAAAGATCATCAACAAATCTGGAGTGAAGATTGAAAATCTCAACTACTACCAGCATATATGAAAAAGAAAACACAATCACGCAAAATTACAGAACACTAACTAAAGATATGGAGACTTAAACAAAAAAACAAAACGTTTCTATGACGTTGCTTCAACTATTTGAATATGAAGATGCCGATGGGTATTAAGGATCCGACCCACCTTCACCATCACGGTAAGATTTAAACGTCAAACCCAAAAATGCCAAACGCCTAACCCAACCCCGATTTGAACGTCAATACAAGATTCACAAGCAGGTGAAGCGGAAAACTATTTTGTAAGTTTCTTCTTACCAACACAGATTCAAACGCCAGACATAGACTCGAAAGCAGATGAAACCAGAAATGGCAAATGCCCAACCCAGACTTCCCGCGAACGTGTTCGTCTTTAGGATGAGCGAAGGAAATGCCGTCGTGGCGGTCGAGGAGTCTTGGGAATTCTTTTCAGGGACAATTTGGCGCATATCTCAAACGGGGTAGTTTTTTCTTTGTATAATAAATAATCACAAGTTGCACGGATTTAGATCCCTGCCGTAAAAAGATTGAGCGGCGGGGAAGTAAGCATGTGTATCATCAGATTGATCTTACGGTCGAGAGAGGCGCTGGTAAAAAATTTATTTCGAATCTATAAAAATTCAAAATTGATATTTGTATTTTTATTGTTATTTTAAATTTATCAATATAAAAATTTGTAAAACTTTTAATTAATCTACTTGTTATTAATCTGGACGGTTCAGACTTCAAATTGTCCAAATTTAATGTTAAAACTTTTTATAATATTTAGAAATTCACTATCTAGAATTATTCTAAATGGTCTAGATTTAATATTAACTTTTTTCAAGCACTAAAAAAATTAAAAGCACTAACTTATACTAATATATGTCAATTAATTTTAAATACAAGTGACAAGTATAATCAATTTTGTCAAATCATGTAAAACATTCAACAGCATAAATTCACGTTTCCAAACATAATAACGCATACGTGTAAAATAATGCTTTTTAATAATTTCTATATGAAAGAGAGTTTGTCACACAATCAAATGATATAAAAGGATTAAAACTCAGTTCATGATTCTCATCATTAGGATCATAATATAGACAATTATATGTCATTTTCTCACTATATGCATGATCATATTTCCTTTATATCTTCATTATTCCTTTGACATGAAACCATAGACTATAGCATAATAAGATAATTTATAATCCGGGGTTTCCCTAGTCTAAACACTTGTGAAGGGATTACCTGGCCAAGGCTTACCCAACTCACTTGTGAAACATGGTTTCCTTCATTTTATCATATTATAAGGTATCATTCTCCTTAAACTAACTTCCTCGTTAAACAAGTGAATAGCTAGCTAGGTTTGAGTCTCTCATTGAACAAGTGAAACAATATGATTATAATCAATCCAGGCAAGCCATCAACTCGATGGAAGCCCTACCACTTGAATTTAATTCTCTACTTCTCTTTCTAAGTAAACTCTTACCTCTTCTCAAGATCATGCAATGTATATTTATGCAATAATTCACAATTAACATATTTCATAAAACTCTGAATAACCAATTTCATTGAACTTTATCATTTTGCAAATCATTGAACTCCTACAATACATATACTTATAAAACCTCATTGATAAAAAATCATTGTACTCTTTAAACACGTTTTCTTAAACTCCAAATTAAATAAGTCATTGAACTCCATATTTATCATACTCATTGTACCTCATGTATTTACAATCATTGAACTCCATAAATTTTAAAATTATTGAACTGATATCAATTCAAATCATTGAACTCTTAACAAATCCCAATAGGAAAATCCACTAATAACATTTTTTAATAGATTGCATTTTTGTGCAAAAATCATCATGGTGGATTTCCAAGCAATTCATGTCATATTTGCATTTCAATCAATTTCACATAATTCAATCATTACTTATTAATCAATAAACTAATTAACACACAAAAATAAAAAATAAAATTTTTCCAGTTATCTCAAACCTTTAAAAGGTCAAAGGTTTCACCATTCAAATACTCACTCTCAAAGCTTTCAAGAAGTTAGAATGGTGCTAAAGATAGTCACTCTACAAGTATTTACAATGCAAATCATCAATATCCACATTTGGGCTAATTTTCACTAATAATTCAACACTTCTTAATGCTTAAAATTCACTCTTGACTCATATAAAAGTACCTATAAAGTTTCTTAGCTTTCTTTACCGTCATTAACATCATTGAGCTTTTTAATGGTCATTAATGAAATCACATTGTTGCAACTAACACATTCATAGGGAAATTTCAGACATTTAATGCCCCTTAATCTCTAATCATTATAACTCCATAAATATCAAGTTTCATTAGCTCAATCTAGTTTCATTAACTCTATTTAAGTTAACAGGTTTGGAACCATAACCTATATAGATCGAAAATCACTATTATCAATCAAACCCTAACTTTTACACTAAGAAAATGGAAGAAGAGAGAAGGATTTAAGTGTAGGAAGCTTACCGTAATGTTTAGGATCTCCAAAATACTCTCAATACTCAGATTCTTCAAGTCCTAGCAGAGCATTTTTGTCCTTTCTTTGTATATTTCATTTTTCTCTCATCCGTTGCATTAGTTTCGTGATCTTATTATAGCAAAAATGCGACCATGCACCATAGCGGACACATTATGTGGCACGATGCATGGCACAAAGAACATCTCCCAGACGTGTTACCACACATGCATTGTGGTGGTTTATCCACAAGTTGTGGTGCGTGGCACAGAGTCTTCCCTTTAGATTTCTTTCTCTTTTCATTTTTGGGTGACCCGATTCTCTTTTGAAGCCACGTTTAGGGCTGGAAATCACAATCAAACACGCCTATTAAGCTTCTCTGGCCACACACCTCATTAATACACTTAATTAACCTAATTGAGCTTAATTAATTTTATTTTAAATCGAGGATGTTACAAAAAAATGCATGTCTTTTTGTTGAAATTTTTTTAAGAAAATATTAGTTATTAATTTTTTATAAAATAATTTTAATGTTGGTTTGTAATTTTTATTTATGAAAATATTTTGTTTCTTTATTTATGAGAAATAATTTTGTGAAAAATATTTTGATAGGACTTGTGAGAATCTCATATATCCTAAAGTTATCTTTCAAAAATGGTTTATTTTATTTTAAAAAATATTTTATTTTTATTTATGAATAAAATATTTTGATATATATACCTAAGATAATTTATCGTCACATAGAATAAGCTATTTGACTTATGAAATGTGAGGATTCTAAAAGTTTAATGCAACCGATGATTTCAAAACTATATATATGCGATAATTTATCACTACGTACAGGATAATAAATTAACTATAAGTTTGCATGGATTTTAAAAGTCTCACGTAACAAATGATAAAATCATTATAGATGCAATAATAATCCAATAAACACTCACTTGAGATTTAAATCTCGAGATTCTTTTCTTATAATTCTCATGAATACTTTCAGACATCATATATCTCCAAATTCACTCACCATATCAAATCCCATAATAATAATAAAGACTTTAGAAATTTTATAAATTTCCTAATACAAAATGAAATTGCCACACAAGATATGCACATATTCAAAATTGTTTTCTACACAGAAATTCATCAAGTAACCGTGTTGAAGTCTAAAACTCACATCACGTTACTATGGCATATAACATGAGAAAAGGAAAATTTGATGAGCAGAATTCCATTTACACATGGAGACAAAAAGGAAAAAAGATTAGCCAGAAATAGGTCATAATTGGACGCACAATCACATGGAGACAAAAGGAGTTACAATATGACTAAAGGTGGATGTAGATCAGGAATGCAGGTAAAGGATTATATTCTTGAAGTGTGAAAAGTTACCGTTTGGCAACTAAATATTAAAAGGGCTTATGGCTCCCACTTAAAGGCCTAACTTGTCATGATTTCTAAACCTTCTACCGATACGCTTGCATGTCTAAAGTTGAAGAGGAAATAAACTTACCTTTATGAATCTCTATTAATATTAAAGTCTCCTTTCTCTTTGTCATCTCCTCTATTCTTCCCTCCTCTCTCTTACAGTTTTCTTGAGTCTCTTCAACCATTTGACTTTATCTTTATTTTCCTTTATATAGACCTCTACATTTAAAGTTTATTTAGAATGTCAATCGTATTATGGTTTACATTTGATGTATTCTTATATTATTATTATTATTGAGAGATTGGATATTAATTATTATCTTATCTATTATTATATTATTTTGGAATGTTTGAATCTTAATATTAGATATTATATTCTATTATTTTGAAGTTTTCAAATCATAATATTAGATTAGATTATATTCTTATTATTATATTATTTTGAGATATTCAAATATTTATATCTCATTATTATACTAGATTGTGATTTAATTTGATTACATTTATGTCATTTTTTATTATCTTCAAATCAAAGATCTGTTAACTTTTATTTATTTATTTTCTTGTTATAAAATATTTTCATATTTTTATTCTTATTATTTTATACAGATTTCTTTTATAAAATGTTTTCCTATTTTTCATTTTTCATTTTCTCTTTTTTATTATTTTATTGTGTATGTTACCTTATTTATTTATTAGGGTTCGAATAAAATATGGTGTTCATAAATGAAGTTTAACACTATGCAATAGCATGAAAGTATATGGTGATCAATTATAACCTTTTAACAATTCCAAACATAATCATCAACTCACACATAATATGAGGTTCAGCTATAAAATTATAATCGACAACATGAAGAACAAGAAACTAATTAAGGATCAAAAGAAGCAAACTGAAGAAGCTGGCAGTTGTTTTGAAATCGGATCATATGATGTTCCTTCAAGGTGACCCAAGCCTCTATTCCATCTCTGATCTTGCTGGCATCAAAATCATTACATTTCTGGTAGAAGCTCCAACTGTAATACAAACCCATATTGGATTGGCCCATCCAAAGTTTTGCTTTATGGAAACCAAACCTGACCCAGCTACTGAAGATATAGCAAGGAACGCCTTTCTAGGCCACCAACTACAACTTTCGTAAATTTGATTCAAGAATTTCAATAAGTTCTTCACCATATCCTTGAAGCTTGCTCGCATGATCTCCATCAACCATTTTAATGGCTTTTTTCACTACTTCTGCCAAATCTTGTAGCTCTACATTGTTTTCTTTATCAACTTCAAGGAATGGAGAAAATGCAGGCACAAAGAGATTACCTGAATTTAATTCTGTCTATGCAAAAGCTCAAATTAAACAAGCAACTAAAACATTTATAATTAAATAAATAAATTAATTAATCAATCACTTGGTTCCTATAATTTTGACTTGGCTGTAATTCATTCCTTAAATATTAATTCGGTGCAGCTCAATCCCTATATTTTTAATTTAATTACAACTCAATCTTTAAATTTTAACTTATTGTAACTCAGTCTCTAGTTAAAGTTTAAAAACTGAATTATAATCAAATTAAAATTATAAGAAATCAAGTTAAGATGAGTCAATATTTAGCAATTGAATTATATCCGATAATTATAGGAACCAAATGATTAATTTTCTCTTAAATTAATAAGAGAAGAGATCTTCACAGAAAAAATTCCCAGCAATGGCGGCAGCATCCGACCACGTATGCTCACAGCATGTAACATTATGAACTTCTTTGATGAGTTGTCTGATCACTTGCACCTTCAAAGGCAGGTTTCCATATCAAAGTTGTCACACCTTGAACCCTAGTGGGCATAAAGCTGAATCCCCTTGAAATTTCTTCTTTTAGTGTACACAAGCTATCCTCACTAAACATGAATCTCTTGGTTGTAATATTCTTCTCTCCTATCATATCATTCATGTCAATCTCCATGCCTTTCGGTGGAAAAAGCATAGAAGCTTCCATATTAAGGGGCAAAGAAGTATCAGCCACTTCATTTGCATGATCTTCCATTGCCTTTTGAGACCAAGCTTGGAGGAATGAATCTATCGCTGTTTCGTCATATACCTTATGTGATGACACACACACACACACCAATAGCTATACCTCCACAACCAAACTCACTGACCTGAACAACCATTACTTGACGATCTTCATCTTCATCGTCCCCTTATGTCTTTGAGTTGATGGTTAGCATTATTATTGAGAAAGAGCTTTGAGGGAACTCTAGCTTCATGGTAAAGGACACCTTCATCGTAATAATCAACATAGAGATAGAGATCGCTTTTGTTTCCTTTCATTCTTCCAGAGAATGGATAGTAAAGAGTGAGAACTTCTGATAAAGAAACTTATAACTTTTGTGATATTTTGGGAAAGTCATGAACTCATGGTCATCAGAAGCAGAGTAGAAGAGAACACTGGGAACGTAAACAGAAGGTGGAGGGGCTAACTCATCGAGGAGAGAAAATTTGAAGTGTTTGAGGTGATTTGGAGTTGGAGATAAGGCTTTTTAGCTTCTGCCATTTCTTGGAATAAAAAAGATTTTTAAGACAGCAGAAGAACAAATGGCTTTTATATAAATGGCAAGGAGACTATGCGTCATGATGAAAATATATAAATTATTAATTACATCATTGCAATTGATTTTTGGCCGTGTTGGAACTAAGCAATGTATTAGCTTACTGTAGTTATTAGCTGTTACTTATTGTTATAGCCATGTATTTCTAGCGTAACTTATATAGATAAGTTGTAACGGCATTAGCCCGATTGATGTACTGTATATGTCTACAAATAAGATGCCTACACTCAGTGAAGTCAAGTCACTGAGTTCTTTTTCACACATCTGTCTAAAGTTTCATTGGCCACGAGAATTTTTTTTTTTGGTACACATGGATTCTCTTATCAAAGATAATCCTATTCAAAATATAGTTAGGCATTAAATCATGTGATTTCTAATATGGTTAAAAGAATGTTAGAGAAATATATTTGACAAATATTGAATTGACTACAGCGTCATCCTTTCATCTGAGAGGGTTAAACAATATTATTTTTATTTTGTAATTTAAAATTTTGAAAACTTAAATGCTGTTCTTCATGACTTGATTTTGAATTATTCCATTTGGATACTCCCATGTCCAAAATTCTCATCGCTCTTTTTAAGCCCTAAATAAATATGCAGTGCAAATTTTCTACCATTCAAGTTTGCAAACATTAGTGCACACAAATCTAATTTTCATATGAAAAAGCTGGCTTGCCAAGCGTGAGGGAATCCTTCCAATTTTATATATAAATTACCTCTAACTATTTTACTGGAACCATAGAGGGATGATTAAATTATTATCAATTTCTGAAAAGGAAAGATATTTCCCAATTCACCCTTATTAAATGCATCACTCAAAAATATTTCTCCCTCATATGTAGCCTTTTCTTATACTCATAAAAAAATTGTGAAAAAGTAAAATTGGAAGAAAATGATTAATTATTCATCTTGTTTTGTCTATACATATCCATTTGAGATTGGACAAAGTTTTACATTGATTGTCAAGTACCTAACACAACCCTCCTCCTTGATTTGGGCTTGTGACTAGCTATAAAGATAAGTAGAGTTAACAATACCCTTGAAAACTTGGTTGATAGAGTCAAGAATATGGATTGGGTTATATGGATTGGCTCAAATAACTGATTATAAGAGTTGGGTTGGGTTGGGTTGGCAAAAAATTAATCCAAATAAAAAATGAATTTTTTCTAGACTATACCAGATAACCCATGAATCATATGAGCTAACCCTGATAAGTTAGGTTGGCTCGTTTAACTCATTATTTTTCAAGAAAATGGAAAATAAAGGAAAAGTGGGAAATATGGTAGCCATTGATATGCTTAACTAAATTCTCCGGACACGCTTCTTTTGCGAAAATCCTCCATGTTAAGGGAAACTACAGTAGTCCAACAAAAGGGCGTATTTATAATAAGTACATATACAACTCGCTGCTATGGTTAAGGACTTAAGGGAAAGGCAGCCCTTGTATGAACTGTAAAAAACTCTTGCTTTTCTGAGTGAACTTATAAACTTATCCAAATGCCTTTACGTGCTATGTCACCTAGCTTGATCGGCACAGTGCTACAAAAGGAGATGCCCCACGACGCACTAATAAAATCTTATTAAATTTTATCCTTTTCCATCGACGTATTTCTCAATCTGTTGTATATCTGACCAGAAGAGGGACTAATAACAAAATAAAATAGCCTGTCAATCTGGGTTTAATTACATGTTAACCAAGGTAGAAAAATTTACGTCCCTCTCTCTGTCTCTCTCTCTCTCTCTATATATATATTAACACTTGTGTGGGTTTAAAAGGCATGCACGGATTATGGAAATTTATATCAAATTTCATAAATACACGTGGTTTCTGGGCTCTATAATGATAGAAGATTATAAAGTTAATACATTATATATTCGTAGTTTGTTGCCCATTTCTGGCTAGTTGGGATTCGTTTAATTTAAATTTTGACCCTGCATCGCAAATAGAACAAGGCTTTTCATCACAGCATTAATTTTGTGGTAACAGATACCAAAACCTTGCCCGGCCACTAATAATTCCACAAAGAGATTACTTGAATTTAATTTTGTCAATGCAAAAGCTCAAATTAAACAAGCAACTAAAAACATTTATCATTAAATAAATAAAAAATTAATCATTTGGTCCCTATATAGTTTTGACATGGTTGTAATTCAATTATTAAGTTTTACCTCAATGCAACTCAATCTCTATAATTTTGATTCAATTGCAACTCAATTTCTAAACTTTAACTCATTTTAACTGATCAATCTCTATAGTTTTAGTAATTTAAAACATTAGCCCCTAAGTTTCAAGAAATAACTTTTAAACCTTATAATTTGATTCTTTAAAACATATAGGGATCAATATTTAAAATGGTTAAAAGTTATAGGGATTGAGTTGCACTGTGTCAAAATTCAAAGACAAAATTGTAATTGAGTCACTATTAAGGATTGAGTCACAATGAATCAAAATTCAGGGATTAAATTACATATGAAAACTATAGGGATTGGACCAAAATATTAATTTTCTCTTAAATTAATAAGAGAAGAGATCTTCACAGAAAAAATTCCCCAGCAATGGCGGCAGCATCCGACCACGTATGTTCACAGCATGTAACATTAATGAACTTCTTTGATGAGTTGTTTGATCACTTGTTCAAAGGCTGATTTCCATATCAAAGTTGTCACAGCTTCAACCCTAGTAGGCTTAAAGCTGAATCCTCTTGAAATTTCTTCTTGTAGTCTACACAAACTATATATCCTCACTAAACAAGAATCCCTTCATTGCAATATTCTTCTCAACTATCATGCCATTCATGTCAATCTCCATGCCTTTCGATGGAAAAAAACATAGAAGCTTCCATATTAAGAAGCGAAGAAGAATCAGTCACTTCACTTGCATGATCTTCCATTGCCTTTTGAGACCGAGCTTGGAGGAATGAATCTATTGTTGTTTCGTCACATACCTTGTGTGAGACGCACACACAAATACATACATACATATATATATATATATAGCTATACCTCCAGAACCAAACACACTGACCTGAACAGCCATTACTTGACGATCTTCATCTTCATCGTCCTGTTTAGGTTTAACGGGATCTAATGAAAGAAACCCTCTTTGAGTTGTTGGTTATCATTTTTCTCGAGAAAATCTGAGAGCTTTGAGGGAACTCTAGCTTCAAGGTAGAGGACACCTTCATGGTTGCAATCAACAAAGAGATTGCCTTTGTTTCCTTTGATTCTTCCAGAGAATGGATTGTAGAGAGTGAGAACTTCTGATAAAGAAGCCTTCAACTTTTGTGACATTTTGGGAAAGTCATGATGATCATCGGAAGCAGAGTTTAAGAGAACCATTGAAAGGTAAACAGTAGGAGGAGGGGTCTAACTCATCGAGGAGAGAAAATTTGAAGTGTTTAAGGTGATTTGGAGTTGGAGATAAGGGCTTTATGGTGATTTTGGATACAATCTCAACCTTGGCTTCTGCCATTTAATTTCTCAGACAAAGATTTGTGAGATAGTAGAAGAACAAATGGCTTTTGTACATAATTCCAAGAAGGTTATGGTTTGGATGATTTTCTTGGGAGAGGTTGAGGAGCTTTAAATACTGAAAAATTTGAAAGCTTCCTCGATGGGACTGGGGGGCATGCGTGATGAGGAGAATAAATTTTTAATTGCCATTGCAATTACAATATACTACCTTAAAAAATATAAAACATTTTTTGATAGGTTAGATATTTAAAAATATAAAGCATTTTTAATATTACAAGATGTAATTAATGTGTTTTTCCCCCAAAAAATACACTTAATAAATGAATTATTTTTTATTTATTTTAAAGTAAAATATCTTGTTGAATAAGGATAAATATGAAAAAATGATATTGTTTGAAGACAATTAATTAACTTATTAAAACATGATATTTGATTAAAAATATCTTATATTTTTAAACAAACATAAATTGACAGGTTATTAATTAGGCCAAGCCATCGTAGGGTGAGTTCAATTGACAGACTTTAATTAGACTCTCCTTCTTCGTATTATTCAACTTGAAACTAACAAAAATGGATTCATGAAGGCTAGATGAGAATACAATTACCTGACTGCACAACATGTAGTCAACCCCTCGCGCGCGTTTGAGTTTGAGATGACAAGGACGGGTTGAAAAATCCCTAAATTAAAAATACGCAATCTAAAAAAATCATAAAAAATGTAAGACTGCACCGTTTCATCCTTGTAAGGTATATTAAAATGTCTCTCATTTTATATAAAACGTAGTAATTAAAAGAAAAGAAACCAAATTAAAGAGCGTTACAGAGTGTAGCTTTAAAGGCTCCAAACCCTTCTTAGGAATGTCCTGTGTGAAACCATTTTTAGTAATTTGCTACTCACATTCCCTTATTTAGCATTTCTTAAAACAACAATTTGAAATATTCATTAATTTGTGAAAGAAAATCATTTTCAAGTAATGATGATATATTTGATAAGTTTTTTCTTTACAAATTGTCAAGTCTCACTTGCAAATTCCTATTTCAAGGGTTGCAAATTATGGAAAAAAGTGGCAAAATTTTAAACCAATTTACTAAAAGATCTTTGATCCGCACTCTTATACCACAATTTTTAAATATCTTAATTTATTTTGGGTTGTTTTCTTTCTCTTTTAATTGATAAATTTCTCTAGGACATGGTTATATTATATTATATCATATTCGAGTACTGTCAAATCTAATTAATTTATCCACATGGTTAGACTGTTGACCTTACTAAAAGAAAATTGTGTGCCTTCTACTCAACCTCAACCAAGATTTGTTTCTGGATTATTTTTCCAAGATTGTGGTATGTAATTGGATTTTAGGAGGCATTTTCATAATCTAGAATGAGAAATGGCATTAAAGAATCAAAATATTGAATTGAATTTGAATAAGGATTAAGATATTTAAAAATTGTGATATAAGAGTGCGGATCAAAGATCTTTTAGTAAATTGGTTTAAAATTTTGCCACTTTTTTTTCCATAATTTGCAACCCTTGAAATAGGAATTTGCAAGTCGGACTTGACAATTTGTAAAGAAAAAACTTATCAAATATATCATCATTACTTGAAAATGATTTTCTTTCACAAATTAATGAATATTTCAAATTGTTGTTTTAAGAAATGCTAAATAAGGGTATTTGAGTAGCAAATTACTAAAAGTGGTTTCACAAGTGTTTTTTTTATATAATTAAAGAATTTCACCTGTGAATTCTTGTTATGATGGATGCAAATCATGAAATGATAGTAGTGAATTTGGACCAATTTACTCAAGGTTCTTTAGTCATTTAGGATTTTCAATTAATCTTTTAGTCCTTATTTAAGTTTAATTCAATTTCTTGACCCTTTAATATCATTCTACTACAAATATGTAACACTCAATAATATAGGTTATGAATTGATCAGTCACTTCTTGTTAGTTTTCTCTACTCTAGATATAATATATATAGCATTTTTTAAAAGCTTTGCTTAATCTAAAATATAGGACATTGAATATTTTTTTATAATTTTTTAACTTTACCTTTATTTTATTTATAATGTTTTTCAAAAAATAACTCATTAAAATTTTATTTTTATTATTATTATCAAGACATTCATAAAACATTAATAATATAATTAAATTTTAATTTTTTTAAAATTGTAAAATAGTTGTCAATATTTTTTGTTATAAATTATTTTCATATGAAAAGGTTGGCCCTCTTGTGCCAACCATGGTACCTTAAGGGAGGCATGGCATTAAATTGAGAAAATTAAATATAAACGATAAGCACTATAAGAGATGGTGTTCTGTAACCATCAATCAACAGCATTTGGATGATTGGATCCCCACTCCCAATACTAATTAATTAAATTTAATTGTGACCAGCTGTACATCAAGCGAGGAATGCTTCCTCGGGTACTTCTTATAAGATGAAGAAAGAAGAATTTTTTTAGTTGTATGCTCATAAATTATGTTATTAATTTTTCATTACAATTTTTTTATGGCTTCTATTAAATATTAGTAAGAGAAAATATGTTGTTATGAAATATATATTTAATAGAAGTAAAGTTAAAAATTTATTAAATTTTTAAACAAAATTTAAAAAATATGGTCTGATACAATTTTTTAGAAAGATGTTGACAACTATAATTTATAAATACAAATATAGATACTTTTAAATTTATTTATATCTAATTTAATTAAAATTTATCTATATTTAAAAAATTATAAAATTATAATTTATAATATTATTGATTTATTGTCATGTTATGTTATTTTATTAACAATTAGATATATTATCACTTTAATTCTTATATATATTATATGTATTTAAGATTATTTTTTATTTAATTATTATATTATCATCCGTCTAATCAATTAAATTATAAAAATTGAGAATAACTGACTTTTCTGGTTTTACATTTGGTTAGACTTTTAAAACATTACTTTCGACCCCGCTTCTCCAATTCTTTTAAATTTAACTTAAAAATCTCCCTTTCCTTCCTTTCCTCAGCTACTTTTTTTTGCCAACCATCACCCAGTTTCTAAGTTTCCAACCCAGCACACTTTTAATTACCCACATGGAGTCTTAAAACTTCGTCAATTTTAATGTAAACACACGTAAATCCTTTTATTTTTCCGTAGGGTACGCGGAGGGGTATCATTAACTAAAATAATTTTAGTAATGTGTGAATTAATTAGTTCACTAACTTCTATATTCATCATCTCGGAGGGAGTAGATACATGTTTCATTAGAGGCCATCAATTCATCACAATTAGGAAGAACCAGAAAAAGGATATAAAATGAACAGAACAGAACAAAAAGAACTTAACGTACGTATATAAGGATATTATCATTCCTGCAATTCAAATCCAAATACTAATATTATTTCTGCATTAATTAGTACTCACGTCACTTATTTGACATTATTTAACGAGGGCAATGGGAGGATTCAGGAGCAAGCTCTTTAGATCATAAACAATTGAATTGAAATCTTCTAGTTGAATCCAAAATAAACATACAAGCTCTTGCATGACCAACAATATGAAGTTTATTACAACGAGGCAATAACAGGAAATTACACAGTTTAACAGATAATTATAACTTAATTTTTAACAATCCCATACATAACCATATATTAACGTTCACACATAATATACATGAAGTTCAGCTTAAAATACTCAACTACATGAACAAGAAACTAGTTAAGGATCAAAAGAAGCATACTGAAGAAGATTGTTCTCGAATTCAAGCATATGAAGCTCATTCAAGGAGACCCAAGCCTCTATTCCATCCCCAGATCTTGTTGGCATCAAAATTATTACATTTCTTGTAGGAACTCCCACAGTACAAGCCCATGTTGGCTTGCCCCATCCGAAGTCTGTTTCATAGAAACCAAACCTAACCCAGCTACTAAAGAGATAAAAAGGAACACCTTTCTCGGCCACCATAAACCACGCTTGTAACATTGATTCAAGGGTTTCAACAAGCTCTTGACCATCTCCTTGAAGCTTGCTCACATAATCTCCATCAACCATTTTTATGGTTTTTCTGACTACTTCTGCCACATCTTGTAGCTCCATTTTCATTTCTTTATCAACTTCAAGCAATGGAGAAAATGCAGGCACAAAGAGATTACCTACATTTTGTCAATGAAACAAGCTCAAATTAAAAAAGAAAACTAAAAACATTTGCAATTAAATAAAGAAACAATTAATTATTTGGGCTTTATGATTTTGACTTGATTATAATTCAGTTTGCAACTCACTCATTGTAGTTTTGACTCGATTGTAACTGAGTCCCTTGTAAATTTTAATTCAATATAACTTAACTTTTATAGTTTTGACTCATTGCAACTCAATTCTTCAACTTTAATTTACTGCAATTTAATCCCTATAATTTTAGTAATTTAAAATTAAATATATGGACTGAATTGTAATAAAATCAAAAACATAAGAATTGAGTTATGAATCAAAATTCAAAGACTAAATTATATCCAAGAATTATAGGAACTGAAAGAAAATAAGTGAAGTGATCATCACCAAAAGAATTCTCCGGCAATGGTGGTACCATCCGGCTACGGATGTTAACAAGATGTATCATGAATGAACTACTTTGTTGAGTTGTCTCTGTGGTTCTTGCAGCTTCCAAGGCAGATTTCCATATCAAAGTTGTCACAGCTTCAACCCTAGTGGGCTTAAAGCTACATCCTCTTGAAATTTCTTCTTTTAGTCTACTCAAGTTATCTTCACTAAACATGAACCTCTTCGTCATAATATTCTTCTCATCTATCATTGCATTCATGTCAATCTCTATGCCTTTTGGTGGAAAAATCGAAGAAGCTTCCATATTAAGAGGCGAAGAAGAATTAGCCACTTCGCTTGCGTGATCTACCATTGCCTTTTGAGACCAAGCATGAAGGAATGAAACCACTGTTGTTTCGTCACATACCTTGTGTGAGATGCACACACCAATAGCTACACCTCCACAGCCAAACTCACTGACCTGAACAGCCATTACTTGACGATCTTCATCTTCATCGTCCTGTTTAGGTGTATAGGGATCTAATGGAAGAAACCCTTTTATCTCTCTGAGTTGTTGGTTATCATTTTTCTCGAGAAAATCTGAGAGCTTTGAGGGAACTCTAGCTTCAAGGTAGAGGACACCTTCATCGTTGCAATCAACAAAGAGATTGCTTTTGTTTCCTTTGATTCTTCCAGATAAGGGATAGTAGAGAGTGAGAACTTCTGATAAAGAAGCCTTCAACTTTTGTGACATTTTGGGAAAGTCATGATCATCAGAAGCAGAGTAGAAGAGAACCATTGGAAGGTAAACTGAAGGAGGAAAGGCAATCTCGTCAAGGAGAGAAAAATTGAAGTGTTTGAGGTGATTTGGAGTTGGAGATAATGGCTTTATGGTGATTTCGGATACAATCTCAATCTTAGCTTCTGCCATTTCTCAGACAATAGAAGATTTTTGTGAAAATGAAACAAAAATCGGCTGAGAGTAACTGCAAGAAGGCTAAGGTTTGGTTGTTTTGGGAGAGAATCAGGAGAGCTTTAAATAATACAGAAAAGTTTGAAAGCTTGGTGTGTTGTGACTTGGGGGGGGGGGGCATGCATGTATTTATTACTATTATTATTTTTTGACAAAGGCATGCATGCATTTATATCGACATAAATATATCAAGTGTTGGATCAGTGTCAAATAAAAAAAAAAAGAAAAAGATTATAAGCTCCGACGGGGGGGTATAACTTTAGGATAAATTATATCATTTTTATAATTCAAAATTTATAAAATTAGATTATACCTTTTAAAAAAAATTTATACATATAGAATTTTTATAAATAGTTATTAAAAATATAGATAATGTATCAAATCAATTTTTTGGTCAAAAGTAGTAAATCGAGTTTTCTATAAATATCACAAGTATTTTTCTTTTGTGAAAATTAATTATTCATTAATTTTTTTAATTTTTAAGGATAATATATATAATGGATAAAAATATAAGGACTTACTTCAAACAAAATAAATTATAAAGACATAATTTAAAATTAAGAAAAATATAAGGATATGTGAATTAATAAGTGTGGGATGTGTCGCAGCAACTTTTTTGAGCTTGGCACACGCTTAAAGTCAAATAAAAATTATTTGGCCATCCACCCACCCTGCCAACCTTTTGTTCTGCATGGGAAAAATTGTCCGCTTCAATATTTGCTGGTCAAAAAGCATTTAATTGGCCTCCTAAGAAGTCACAAGCCTTTTTTTTTTTTCACCTTTTTAAATACCCTCCACTGGTAAAAATCGGTGCAAAAAGACAAGGTCATATTATATTATAAAAGGTTCCTACGTTTAAGTTGAGGAAAATCAAAAGTCTTAGTATCTAAACTATAATGTATCACTTGGTGGGCAAGCCTATTGACATATTAATTAATTCGCTTCTTTGCACCTATGATAAAAAGTGATCGTTTAGTATTTCATTATAAGATCTCTAATATTCTCTAGGATACTGGTGAGTGGGTGATTTTGGGAGAATTCATGAGGATGAGCGCTTTGAGAGAATTTAAGTAGGTATTAACTTAAGTAAGCTTGCTATTCTAAAAAGTTGAAACCTTATTGGATGGCTTTAAGTTCAGTTGTGTTATACAGGTGATAACCAATGTACTTGGTAAAGCCCTTTATTCAATTTCCTTGATCATGCATCTCGAATGAGTCTACTACAAGAAGTAACACCATAGTTATTGATAGAGCTGTCAATTTTAGGCCTCATCCAACCTGCTTCAAGAGGATACCATTTGGTTATTGATCTCTCATTCTGCATAGACAAGCTATCGAGTCTTGATTGCAAGTTTTAGTCATTGGTGATATCCTAGATGCATGTGAAAGCAATGTCCCTATTTGGAACATCTTTAGAGTAGATGTTTGTGCATCTTGGTTTTCAAATATTCTGGTTGACACGTGCAAAGAGTCTTTAACAAGGGACTTTTTTCTTGCATTTGGACCTCTTGTATTATTCTTTGCATTCCATAATATCCAATTCTATAAAAGAAGAGAGAAGAAGATATTTAATTTCGATTGTTTAACTTGTTTTTTTTCAAACTTCTTGAGAATTCTTACAGTCCCATAATATATGAATAGAGGAATCAAAGGAGTTACATCCAAAAGGTCAAGCCCTTTGGCAAGCACTAGCTTCTTCATTGTTGATAAACTTAGTTTAAAGACAATCTCAAGCAGCTTTTTAGAAAAAAGATTTAATTTTTTCACAAATGAGCCATTTTCAAATGGTAGACCAAATACTCGAGTTGTTTATACTTCCTTAATTTTCAATATATATGTTCATGTATAAGTTCAAGAAGTCTGACGTTTGGCTAATGTTCTTTGGGAGAGACTAGCTCGGGAGCCTTCAAATACAGAAAATTTAAGCTTTAATTTGTTGGTGCCAGAGCTCTGCGTGAACAAAACGAAATGATGTGATCATTTAATAATTAAAATATTGCACTTAATTATTAGATTGATGCGAAGTCATTGGGAAATTTTAAATGAATAATAAGTCACGATTTGTCAATGACAAGTTAAAATATTTAAACATAAAATTTTGCAAATATACATGGTAGGGTTGCACATCGGATAAATTGCAATTTGCGATTCAATTGTTGCCACGTATATGGAAGAAGATTGGCTTATCAGAGAGTGCGCGATGGGAACCTAATTTGGTTTTGGTTTAAGTTAGGCACCGGAGAAATTAAATGCGACCAACCACCAAAGAGATTTGACGTGGACTCAATCAATTCAATATAACCTCCATTCGAATCTCATTTAATTTTGGATTAAATGGTAACTTTGTTCTGGAAGATTTTTATTGGATATAACCGGCTGTATTGATACAATGTTACCCTAACAAATTAAAAAATAGTTAATGTTATCTTACAATAACGTTTTACCAACATTGGCTGTTATTTGAGTATTGAAGAGAAACTGAAGGGGTAATTTGTGTATATCTTAAACTTTTAATTAATATAATGTTTTTGAATTATCAACTTTTAAATTAAAAGAAAGATTCAACAACTTGTTATTGCTCAAAATAAAAAAATAATTGGATAAACATTCATTTTTGCTCTTAAAGCATATTGGTAGGAGCATTCAATAGTTTAAAGTACTTGTTGTAGCATTTTTTTCTCTTTAATTTATTAAAATGGGGCCAATTAAATGATAAGTGACATCCACTAATTTCAAGTGTGCGTCCCACAATAATTGGTGGAGAGCATGTGAACTCACATAAATGTAGTGTTATGTCTATCTCTACTTTCTCTCTCTATTCATCTTTTTCTTTTTCTCCGTCACCTTGGGATCTCTATCTTTGAAGGTCAAGGCTTCAAGTCATGCATTGCCATTGTTGTCTTAATAGCCACAACTACCGACCTTCATAGGATTGCATACCTTTGCTAGCGTTTGTTTTTTCCTTGGCAGATTTTTTGCTTCCAAGAAAAGCAATGCTGGCATAGAAGGGCTTGTTTGATACACCAGAAGAGGGTGCTTTACCATGTAAGAGGAATTGCCATGAGAAGCCAAAAGATGGATTGGGTATGTATTATTGTGCCCAAAACCCTCAACCAACCTAAAATTTTCATGACAGCAATTTTGGCTGACTACATTGTTTCATAATCTTTTTTCTCATTATTATGTATTTCTCGGAGTGCGATCAAAGCCTTTCAAAGAGCACCGATGACAAAGAAAAGCGTGCTAGCATATTCGTTACTCTAGTTTTCTTTCTTTATCACTAATATAGATTTGGCTTTTTACGAGATGCTTTTTATATTAATTGATAGGAAAATGATATAGAAAGTTAAGGTGGTGGTAATTTTATAATTATTAACTTATTTATTAGACTTTATACATCGATTCTTTAAAGAACTAATGTAATTAAATTTTTTAAATTTTAATCACTTTTTACATTGATTACTTAAAAGCATCTAGATTATCTTATTATCTTTTAAGATTAGATTAGGATTTCAAATATTTTAATATTTTTAAGACTTTGAAAATATTTTTAAAGTTTTCCATTATAAAGAGATTGATTAGAACAAAAAATATGGCTTTGACTTGAGCTAGCTCGCCTGCCAGTCACGTTGGGTTGAAAAAATTTTAAGCTATTTTAACATTAGCTCATTTCGCCCCTCATGCCTAATTTACAATTCTTGACAAACTAGCCTACCAACTCACAAGCTAGCATGCTTTATTTAAAATTTTTATTTTCAATAAAAAAAACTTATTGCTTTATATTTATTTTAAGCATAACTTTATTTGTTTCATGTTAGGAACATTGTTTTATATTTACTTTCATTTTTTTTTATATATTTATCATTTTTATATTGATAAAATAATTGTGTAAAATAGATTAGCTTCTTATATTTGCAAGTTCTACAGTTAGTTTAATTATGTGATTTTTTTAAACATATGAAAATAATTTAAATTTAATTTATAAAATCTATAATTAAGTTTTCAAATTTAAAAAAAATTGAAAATGTATAAGGAAAAAAAAAAAAGCAAGTTGTCCCCACCAAACCTACCTATGATAGGTTGGTTGGTATTTTCTCAAGAGCACCAAAAGGCAGGCTGATTCTGATTCAACCCGTAATTCATGTATAGGTTGGCTCATATTATCATTTCTAAATTTAATTGATTGAATAAATTAAGTATTGAGAGGAGCAAGCTCTCTAGCTCATAAAAAATTGAATTCAAGTCTCTATACTTGTTGAATCCAAATAATAAAACATGCAAGCTCTTGTACGATAATGACCAATTAATATGAAACAATTTAACACAAGACAGTAACATGGAATTACAGAGGAAGACGGATAATTATAACTTTTAACAATAGCAAACACAACCATCAACTCACATATACATTATACTCAACAACATAAAGAACAAGAAACTAATTAAGGATCAAAAGAAGCATACTGAAGAAGCTGAGAATTGTTTTGAAATCGGATATATGATCTTCCTTCAAGGACCCGGGCCTCTATTCCATCGTCAGATCTTATTGGCATCAAAATTATTACATATCTGGTAGAAGCTCCAACAGTACTACAAGCCCATATTGGATTGGCCCATCCAAAGTTTTGCTTTATAGAAACCAAACCTGACCCAGCTACTGAAGATATAACAAGGAACGCCTTTCTAGGCCACCAAATACAAATTTTGTGAATTTGATTCAAGGATTTCAATAAGTTCTTCACCATCTCACTTGAAGCTTACTCGCATAATCTCCATCAATCATTTTAATGGTTTTTTTTTTTTTTACTACTTCTAACAAATCTTGCAGTTCCACATTGGTTTCTTTATCAACTTCAAGCAGTGGAGAAAATGCAGGCACAAAGATATTCTCTGAATTTAATGTTGTCTATGCAAAAGCTCAAATTAAACAAGCAACTAAAAACATTTATAATTAAATAAATAAAAAATCAATCAATCACTTGGTTCCTATAATTTTGATGTAGCTATAACTCAATCTCAAAATATTAGCTATATGCAACTCAATCCTTATAATTTTAACTTAATTGCAACTTAATTTTTAAATTTTAACTTATTGTAACTCAATCTCTAGTTAAAGTTTAGAAACTGAACTGCAATCAAGTTAAAACTACAAAAAATCAAGTTGAGATGAGTCAAGATTTAGAAACTGAATTATATCTGAGAATTATAGGGATTAAATGACTAATTTTCTCTTAAATTAATAAGAGAAGAGAGCTTCATTGAAAGAATTCCCCAGCAATGGCGGCAGCGTCCGACCACATATGTTCACAGCATGTAACATTAATGAACTTCTTTGATGAGTTGTCTAATCACTTGTAGCTTCAAAGGCAGATTTCCATATCAAAGTTGTCATAGCTTCAACCATAATGGGCTTAAAGTTGCATCCTCTTGAAATTTCTTCTTTTAGTCTACACAAGCTATCCTCACTAAGCATGAATCTCTTGGTTGTAATATTCTTCTCTCCCATCATGCCATTCATGTCAATCTCTATGCCTTTCGGTGGAAAAAGCATATAAGCTTCCATATTAAGGGGCGAAGAAGAATCAGCCACTTCACTTGCATGATCTTCCATTGCCTTTTGAGACCAAGCTTGGAGGAATGAATCTATTGTTGTTTCCCCTTGTGCGAGACGCACGCATCAATAGCTATACCTCCACAACCAAACTCATTAACCTGAATAGCCATTACTTGACAATCTTCATCTTCATCGTCCTGTTTATGTTTAAAGGGATCTAATGGAAGAAATCTTCTTATCGCTTTGAGTTGATGGTCAGCATTGTTCTTGAGAAAATCTGAGAGCTTTGAGGGAACTCTAGCTTCAGGGTAAAGGACACCTTCATCGTTGCAGTCCACATAGAGATCGCTTTTGTTTCCTTTGATTCTTCCAGAGAATGGAGTAGAGAGTGAGAACTTTTGATAAAGAAGCCTTCAACTTTCGTGACATTTTGGAAAAGTCATGATAGTCAGAAGCAGAGTAGAAGAGAACACTGGGAACGTAAACAGAAGCTGGAGGGGCTAACTCATCGAGGAGAGAAAATTTGAAGTGTTTGAAGTGATTTGGAATTGGAGATAAGGCTTTATGGTGATTTTTGGATACAAATCTCAGTCTCAGCTTCTGCCATTTCTTGGAATATAAAAGATTTCTAAGACAGTACGAAGAACAAATGGCTTTTATATAAATGGCAAGGAGACTATGCGTCATGATGAAAATATATAAATTATTAATTACATCATTGCAATTGATTTTTGGCCATGTTTGAACTAAGCAACGTATTAGCTTATTGTAGTTATTAGCTGTTACTTATTGTTATAGCCACGTGTTTCTAGTGTAACTTATACAGATCAGTCGCAACCGCATTAGCCCAATTGATGTACTGTATTGGTTAACAAATAAGATGCCTACACTCAGTGAAGTCAAGTCACTGGGTTCTTTTTCACATATCTATCGAAAGTTTCATTGGCCATGAGAAATTTTTTTTTTATTGTACACATGGATTCTCTTATCAAAGATAATCCTATTCAAAATATAATCAGGCGATAAAAGTATTCATCATGTTAGAGACTAACCCATCCATATGATTTCTAATATGGTTAAAAGAATGTTAGATAAATATATTTGACAATTATTGAATTGACTACAGTGTCATCCTTTCATCTGAGAGGGTTAAACAATATTACTCTTATTTTGTAATTTAAACTTTTGAAAACTTAAATGCTGTTCTTCATGACTTGATTTTGAATTATTCCATTTGGATACTCCCACGTCCAAAAATCTCATCGCTTTTTTTTAAGCCCTAAATAAATATGTCGAGCAAATTTTCTACCATTCAAGTTTAAAAACATTAGTGCACAATTTTCATATAAAAAAGCTGGCTTGCCAAGCGTGGGGGAATCCTTCCAATTTTGTATATAAATTACCTTTAACTATTTTACTGATTGTCTGAAAAGGAAAGATATTTCCCAATTCAACCTTATTAAATGCATCATTTACAAAATATTTCTCCCTCATATGTAGCCTTTTCTTATACTCATAAAAAAAATTGTGAAAAGTAAAATTGGAAGAAAATGATTAATTATTCATCTTGTTTTATCTATATACATCCATTTGAAATTGGACAAAGTTTACGTTGGTTGTCAAGTGCCTAATACAACTCTCCTTGATTTGGGCTTGTGACTAGTTGTGAACATAAGTAGGGTTAACAATACTCTTAAAAGCTTAGTTGATATAATTAAGAATATAGGTTGAGTTATATGAATTGGTTCAAATAACTGGTCATAAGGGTTGGGTAATAAAAAATGAGTTTTTTATATATTATACCAAATAACCTATAAATCATATAGGCTAACATTGATGAGTTAACGTTAGCTTGTTTAACCCATGTTATTTTTCAAAAAAATAAAAAATAAAGAAAAAGTGGGAAATATGGTAGGCTCATGACTTTTGATAAATTGATGGACATGGTCATGACTTGACTATCTCAATTCATATATTTTATATAAATTGAAAAAAAATAATGAAGTAAAATCATATTGGAACTCATCATCATTTTCATTTAGATATATTTTTTAAAATTTATAAAAATAAATTGAAAAATAAAATAAAATGTATTGCCAAGTTGTCCCAGTTAACATGCCAACCCTTAAAGGTTAGGTTGGGATTTTTTCAACCTATTTGAAAATGAGTTGATCCCAACCTAAACCATATTTTTTTTCTAATCCATATGGTTCAATTTGGTCTATATTTCCAACTTTAATTGATAATATAGCACAATGATATCATGCAATCAATATAATTGACTCTACTTAGTAGGATAAGGCTTTTTCTTATTGTTTTTGCTGCTATAGCAACATTAATTTTGTTTTGTGAAGTGACTTTATAAAAAAAAAAATCATCAATTCTTTGCAAAAGATTGTATTGGATAGATAAGGATTTTAGTTGGATATAATTAGTTATAAAAAATTAATTAATATAATTAATTTTGAATATAATTGATTATGTCATGGTATATAATTGATTAATAAAATTAATTTTAATCAAAATTGAAAAGTAGAATTAAAAGCAGAATTAAAAATAAAATAAAATTAAGGTTTTTTGAAAATATATCCAAATACCCCATTACATGTTAAAATCAATTAAAAATACAAAATTATATTTTCCAAAAAGTATGCAAACACTCATTATATATGCCAAAATCAATTATAAACTAAAAACGACAGTTATCCATAAGCTATTGTTACCTAGTTTTTCAATTCATATTTTCAACTATACTTTTTTAAAATTTATCCAAAAATCATATAAATTATTTTGCAAATCATATTTTAGGATTTATGATTAATTTTGACATATATAGTTGTTCTTGGATATTTTAAAGAAAAATATGATTTTAGGTTCAAAATTAATTTTGGTATGTTCTTCTTTTCAATTCTTAATTATTAAATTCAATATTATTAATTAATTGTATAAACCAATTATATATCACGTAACATAATCAATTATATTTAAAATAAATCATATTAATTAATTTTTTGATAATCATTAATTTTTCCAATGGATATCCAAACATGGCCATAGTTTATGAGATAATTGTAGTTTTGAGTTAATAATTGATTTTGACATATATAATGGGTGTGTTCAAATATTTTTAAGAAATTATGGTTTTGAATTTATAATTGATTTTGATATGTAATAGAAGGTTTAAATATATTTTCACAAAATTATAGTTTTACTTAATTTTTAATTTTTCTTTTGAATTCTATTTAAAATCAATCTTATTAATCAATTTTATAAATCTATTATATATATCACATAACATAATTATATTAATCATTTTTTTCATAATCAACTTTTTCTTATAGATATCCAAACACACAAACTTCTTTGGACATTTATGAGAGAGAGAGAGAGAGAGAGAGAGAGAGAGAGTATTTGTCTTAATCCAATTTATATGGAACTTGCATGATTTTTACATCTATTTTTACCCTTTTACCCCTATTAAATGTTAAGAAAGTTATTAAATGTTGGAGTATTTTATTTTTAAGTGTGCGTGTACATATATATATGTCCAATTATAAT